TTCTAAAAGTTTTATAAATATAAATAAAATATATTATATATGCTATATATAAAAGAGTAATATAATAAACTGAATTTTAAATTAATTAAAAAAATTTCTTTATATAAAATTTTTTTATTATTATTGAAAATTTAGATTTTATTTTTGTTACTTTTGATTTAAAAATCAATATTCAAATCAAATAAAAGATTGATGATTAAATTTATTAATAATTTTATCTAATTATAAAGTATGAATTTTGGTACCACTGGGGCTGCCCTTAATGATAATTTATATTATTGTGTTGCTACCCAAGGTAATACAGTATCAAACCTTTAATTATCGACATTTTGAGACATGGTTTGTCAAGAGTACAAATTTCCCAATGAATATTGCCTCGAAACGGTGATGCGATTGATTTTATCGTTTCCTCATCTCTAACAAAGTTAATCAAACAAATGTTTGATTACTAGCAATTGAATTATAGCTAATATAAAAAAATGCACATTATTTGAGTTTAAAACAACTATTCTGTATCTGACGAAACGCCCAGCGTAGGGATTAAATTTAGTCAACAATGTGGGAAGCATTAAATATATATCGTCGTGTCACAGATTAAGTAATCTTAGCCTTAACGCCTGACTGCTCGACATAAGGTTTAGGATGATTTAGGTTAGTTAGTTATCTTTAAGTTTAAGCATTAGAATGGTTGAGACAAGTAATTTACATGAAACGCCTGGTTAAAAAGGAGACATCTATTTGTTTCATGAATACTAAACGTTTATGGACTGTAATAGACCATTGTGTCTACATTTTTTTGCCGATATCTCAACCACCACAGTCCCCAAATTTTTATCTAGTTGCTTTTGAAAGATTAAGTATGCTGTAAGTACGGTCCTGGTACCAATTGCAAGTTTAACCATAAAAAACTTCTCGACGCAAAATACAATAACTTACTCGTATAAACCTTAGGAACGCGTTTTACACAAAGAACCAACGATGCCAAGAATCACTCTGAGACATTCTTTTGACCCATTTCCATCGGATTTTGACTCGACTCGTGACATATCGATCAGTTCGAGCACATGGAATCATTCTCAAGCGTTAGTCACTTTCGTTTGAATGATCAGTATGAAAAGTTCAATATATATTTGTAGTCGTGGATCCAAGAGTCAAAGAGATGTGAATGAAATATCACTCATGTGGGATACCTATTCCGTTCACGATTTTCGGAATCACATTTTTCGAATCATCCTTCTTTAGATTTTCATATCTACATGCACGCGAATGTAGGTGCATCATTAAAGTTATGTTGTGCAATAGTTAGGTATTGACATTATTTGTAACGCGCAAATCAATTACGATTGAAGTTGATTGGAGCAGGGAACTCACTGCAAATCTTATAAATGTCAGTCCAGAATGAGAAGGAAAAAAATTTTTTTTAAAAAAAAAAAAAATTCATTGAGTACACTTACTCTTTTATGACAAAGTAAATTCCTGCTAGCAACGAATAGCTTGTCCCTTTATCGTTTTCTTCTTTTTTTTTTTTTTTCCTTTTTTTTTTTTTTACGGCAACATTCTCCAAGAGAATTAATTACACTTTCTAAGGAGCGCTTGTAAAATGTATTTCCAAAAATCCTTACTCTTTCTACTTATTGTCTCGCTGTTAATAACGACACTTTCAATCACCGAAGCCCTACCTGTCTATTTTAAAGCTGGTCAAAGTCGCCCATACAAACGCGGTGGAGCTACCATTGCAGAAAGTGTCACAAAGGAACGACGTTCTTTGTCAACACAAAAGGATTTCGATCTATACATTGCCAGATACGCTTCGCAGAATAATAATGACAGCTCTAAAAGAAATACTTTTGGTTCTTCCTTGCACAAGGCTTTGAAACGGGACGTATATTTGGATGAGTTAGACTGGGACGATAACGAGGTGTAATTGAAGAACGCATTCGCGGATGGTCGTTATTTTAGGATTTATCTAATTGCTCAAACAAGACAATAATAACGGCCAAGAAATATTCCCTGGCTATAAATCCGACTATAAGAAACGTACTCGGTATCCGTTTTTCGTTATTTCTTCAATGGGCAACATAATTACTAGGAAAAGATGCCGGCAAGGTAGAAAATAGTTTCGAGTGTAATATTTGATTTGATGTTGATCACACGTTCGAAGCGCAACGCGCTTCGGAAATTGGGAATTCACAAGACAAGACAAAGGATCGTAGATCGATGACCAATTATACAAATCCCAATAAATAATAGTAAGCCAAAAATGGCGAATAATAAATATTAATCGACCACGAGAAAAAATAAATTTGGTTTACAACTATTTACATAATTTCGTCTGCAAATAATTATGTTCTGGTGTTGCAACAGAGTTAGTCTCTCAATTTGTTGAGACATTAGCCGTAAATGTTGCTCAAACTATATGTATCACAATGAGTTTCGTTTATTATGGACCCGCATTTCCTTGTTATTACTATTTCTTCTGAAATTCTATTGTTTAATATTTGTTGCAAGTGGGACATGACGAATTATTTATAATACGGTGAAATTCAATTGGTATTTTCTTTAAAGAAAGCTGTGTTGTAACGATCCACTGAATTTATAAAGTTCTTTTCTATTGGCCCTCAAATTCATTAAATAATTTAACCAATTTTGTACTAATTATATGCAGTATGAAAAAAAAAGGCGCATAAACCGATTAGTCTATGCATATGTGCCTTAGTCCTTCCTTAGGTTAAATTAAATCTCGAGTGTTTGAATTCAGAAACTGGGTCCAAAGTTAGGCGAATTTAAATCCCAAAGGATTCAGCATGCCCTGTTAATTATTTAAAGAATGCCTCAAAGGGAAAACCGTCCATCAGGCTTGAAATTATGATTTATACCGGATTATGCTCCTGAAAAAATCTTATCAAGAGACACACGCGCAATTAAATGCACGTGTAGGATTGGTTTCCTGAACCTTTATTTCTATATTAATCACATAGAAAATAAGCATTAAGCGTGATAAATTAGTAAGATTGCCGTTAAGCTGTAGTAGTCATGAAAATAATCTGGTTTACTAAAGTATAAATACATATATGTATTTATTTCAAAGAAACGATTGAACAAATGCATCAAAATGAATAAAAAATAAAAATCAATTTAAATTTCTTCGCATCCTTTTAACTTCAGTATTATTTAATTGGTGCTTTCTTATCTGTAATAGATAATCATGATCCAAGAGCCTAAGACGTGTCGATTAAATACAAGATATACAGTATAAATAATATTTTAACCTTATTTATCGGATTCATTGAATTTTCATCGAATTCATTTGGAATTTTGTTGAATCTGTCAAGTTTTTTAATTATCAATTGAATCATCAAGTTTATTATTACCATTCGACAATTATAATGTTTCAAGAAATTTTTATTGAAAGCAATATACTGTATTTAAATAATAACGTTTTAAAAAATAAATAAATAGATAGTTTACGATATCTTAAAATTTATTGTCAACAATAATAAATGTTTAAAGTTTATTTAAAAGAAAACACATCAATATTAAATTATCAATCAGTCAATATATTATTTAATTCAATTTTTATAAAAAGCAAAAACTTACATCCGTGAACCATAAAGACAATGCTTATACAGTAATAATTGATAGGTATTAAAAAATCCATTCGATAATATTCAATAAAATATTAAAAAGTATAGTTACAGTATTTTATAATAATTCATTTGAAAATACCTTTTCAAACAAATTATTAAATTTTAAATGAAAGAATAAACTTGAATACTTCAAATTTATAATAATACTATATTTATACATGGTTCGTTATTATTTTTGACATCAATAAAATTGCATTCGTTTTTTATCATCACTGTTTCTACCATTTTTTCATAACAGAAGAATTAAAAATTTTTCATAAAAAATTTCGGATTTTTTTAATTATAGGTTATATTAATAATTTTTACATATTTTATATACGGTATATGGTATATGGTTTGATAACAATCTATTATTATTTGTCTCAAATAGATCTACTACTACTTTGGAAATGAATAAATCAAATTAGAATTAAATAATTAATATATAATTATTAATAGCAAATTAGGCTAGTGAGTATTAAGTATTATAAATTTTATTATTGTTTTAAAAATAAAGGTTTTAAAGATTATCAGAATAAGATAATTCATAAGATATTTATAATAAACTAAATTAAAACTATTTCTTATACAAGTTTTTTTATAGTTTAACTATAAATTTTAACTTGTAATTAATAAAATGTTAAAAGTCTTATCTTTATATAACCTAATTTAATTACATTTGGTTTAAATAGTTAAGTATAATTTTTATAAGATAAAACTTTTTTCACTAATCTTTTAACTATATATAAAAATATATCCATAAAAAGTAGGTTTTTATATTTTTTTACTAATAAGATTCTAACACTTTCTTTAAAACAATTTAAAGTATGATTTCAAGAATCACTTCTATTATTTTTCTTTTGTTTACAAATCTTTTCATTCAAAAATTTGATTTCTAATTATCAAGAAAAGCCAAGTAATATCTTTAATATCAATAATAAAAAAGATTACAAAAAAAAAAAAAACTGATTGTAAAATATTTGAAAGTCTTTTTAATCTTTAAAGTAAAAGATTTATAAAACTTTGTTATAGTTAAAGACTTATTTTCTTCTTTTTAAACTATTTTGATTCTCTTTAACTTCTACTTTTATAGTTTTCTAAAAAAATTTATTTACTTCAATTTGACTTTGAATTTTAAGTAATACAAATTCTTATAAAAAAAAATTAATTAATATGAAATACATTAGTTTCTAAAATAAAAACAAGCTTTTATTGATCACACTCACATATTTTGATAATATTATTGATAATTGAAAAAAATATTTCAAAAATATTTATCTTCAAAAACTTAAGTTTCTTAATAAAGAAATTTATAATATCAAAAGATCAAATAATAAGTAATATAGATTACAGACTTTTATCTTTTACTTAAGTTTTTCAAGTAGTAATAAAGCTTTAATAAATAAAAGCTAAAGTCTAAATACTTTCCTTAAAATATTTCAATTCAATATTTATTTAAATAAAGAATCAATTGAATTGACTTGTTTAATACTATAGATAATAAAAAAAAATTTTTTGAAGGTTCAAATAAAGCAAAAAGATTATTTTAATTATTAACTTATTTTTACATTATAGTAAATTGGTTTATTATAATAAAAATAATATTTAGAGATAATTAAAATAAATAATTACTTATATTATTTAAAGATTTATAGATTACTAAATAAAAAAGAAAATAGATTATTTATGTTTCATTTAATTAAAATAAAATAATTATATAATTATATAAAATAAATACTTTTTTTTATTTTAGTAAAAATTAATCTAGTAAAAAGCTAGACCTCTTATATCACATTATTTTCAAAAATCTTAATTTACCAAGTAATTTATTGTTATTCTAATAAAAAATAATCAATATATCAAAATTTTATCTGAAATATTTAATATGGTACATTCAATATTAATAATTTCTTATATAAAGCCTTAACTCTATTAATATTAAAAAAAAATTTTTTTAAAAATAAAAACATATTCAGATTTTGTTTCAAAAAATATGAATATGTGATTATATAAAAAAGATATTGCTTAAGTAAAAGTATATTATATTTTCATTAAATAGAAAAAGAAAAAATATTTTTTATATTTATTTAATATATTTTATTTTAGTTTTATATTTTTTATATAATTAATAATGTACTAGATTTTTATATTCTATATTCATTTATATATAAATAGCAAAGTAATTTATAATAAATTTCATATTCTTATAGATATTAAGAAAATATATTTCAATATATGAAAAAATCAATAAGAGCTTATTTGTATCTTTTATTTGTATGTAAAGAATTGATTTAATTATAATATAAAAAGCTTTGTATTATTCAAAATTCAAGATTAAATAAAGATGATAATCAAAATTTTCAGAAAAAAATTTAGACTATATATTATTAGAGTTTATATAAAATAAGAAGAAATAAATATGACATAAAACTCTTTTCGCAAATCCCTCAGATCCTTAGAAATTTCTTTTTTAGGCAATACACCCAAGGAAAGAGATAACATACACAACCCAAGACATATACTCTCACAAAACCAACATACAAGAGACATCTTAGCACAAAACAACACTTTGTACATAATTTTAGTCTGGTGATCACTGAGAAAATACAACATATATTAACAACCTTGGCCTTTTTCTCTTTTCTAAGAAGAAGGAAACAAGCCAATATAAACTAATTCACAGTCAGAAAAGGGGAGCCAATATCAACTTCACAAAGCTTGCAGCCATGCCAGTGTAGATTGACACCTTTCTTGACACTACAAGGAATCTCAAAGCAAATAGGTTTGCTCGATAAATCAAGCAAA